CACACACACACACACACACACACACACACTCACAGAGCACCTCCTGGCCTCCACTCCCTGTCCTCGTACCTCCTCTACTCTATTTTGGCGCAACTACTCCACCACTGCTCTCCTCTAGCGCTAATACTCCACGGTGCTCCAGCAGCGTAGTCGCTTGACTCCCAGAATGCTGCATGACTGTAATGGAGGCTGGTCCAGCTATATATAGTGCTGGGACTACTGGATCCTACCTCAGCCTGTGTCATGGGCCATCCGATCATATCACTGATCAGAGGGCCAGGATGCAGGCCCAAGTCCTAGTCCTGATGCCTGGCCAAAGAAGACTCCCTGGGTCCCACCAGGACGTCCACGCTCCTCTGCTGCATCCGCCGAGGTATCCTCAGGCTGAATCAGCCAACTGGTGGTCCAAGCGACACTAGTGGTCTGGACAAAAATACTGAAACGACACATCCAGACCAGACAAACCTGGAACAGACAAAAACGAACTCAAAAGGGAAAAACGAACTGAGAACATCAAAAATGAACTAAATAGTAAAAATACCACATAGTAGAAACTGCAGGTGACCCAAAAATGAAAAAGACGGGCCTCGCTCAGTTGGTACACCCATGAAGCGTTGAAATACAGACACGAGTTCCAATCCATACGGTTGAATGAATTTCTGAATTACCTGGGGCCCGTCAGTTTCCTGATTGATATCTCAAGGCCGCCGCCCTTGTCGTAAAAAAAGAAAAGAAAAAAAAGAACCAAACTCACGCTCAACACCCCCTGAACCAATGCCGGTGGGACACGTGCATATCACAGCCGTGTACAACTAAGGTGGCTAAAATTCGCAGGGCATTTTTTAGATCTCTCTCACTTCTGTAATTCTGAGTACAGAAGCGGTAAATCACAAATACTGTGCCTTTGAATTCTCACAGACTGTGACAGACATTCTATCTAAGAGGACTTGAAATCAGACATCTCTCACCTCTGAGCGATTGAAAGCCACATATGCATATCCCTAAACATAGAGGCACACTGATACGTCCACAAGATGCAACGCAGGATTAGCAGGTGACTTGGGCACCCAAGCCATTACCCGTTCTTGGGCCCCTGGCGTACCAGCCATAGGATCGTGTCTGTACGTTTCCCTGGGCTGGTACGACAGATCGCTCCATGTACTGTTGCAAACATCGCTTGCCAATATTATCCAGGGTCAGGCTCCGCTGGCTCTTGGCCTCGCTTCACTACTCGCCAAATGTGAAGTATCTTTCCAGTTGTAACAGAAAATTTACTTGCTTATTCTCACCTTTGGCTAGTGGGGGAGCTAGGCCCTATGTCTAGGTCTTCGCCAGACACTCAGACATTCTGAAGAGTGCAGCCTGGAAGATGGGACACTTGAACTTCTGGAGCACCAGGAGTGAGTGAGTAGAGGCAGCAGTCATCCTCTCTTGTGGTCCAATCAAGTCGCTTTAGCGCCACTGTGGAAGGGTAGGCCTAGCCCAATTATTACGTGGATTTGCCGCTCTTTATCCAGGGAAAACTTGCCAATCAAAAAACGATAATGCCGTTACAAGTTGCCCTAACCGAGAGTAAGGACCAAAGGCAGCATAGCTGCCCAATGCAGATGAGCCCACAGAGGGGGGATTGGCACAATGATTGAAATGGAAAGCCGGGCACACCCAGCAGCTCCACAACAAGAACATGGTCATTTGAAAATGAACCTGAAGATAATATATTGTCACATAACTATGAACTAAAAGAGCGCACTTTGCGAAACAAACCGTAAAGATTAAAAAACAAGACAAACATGAGGGGCACACTGAAGCCATTCATTCTTCTCATTCTTCTTTTAACTTCCCCTTCACCATGCCTCTGACATACAAGGCTCGCCACGTTGATGAAGTTGAGAGCGAGCTGGTCGCATTCCCGCATGCCATAACAGCCCGCTTGTACACTGTGAGAAAGAGGCAGAGTAACGGCCCACTTGTACAGTGTGAGAAGACGCGGAGTAAAGGGGAAGGTGATAAACACAGGGAAGAGAGATGAAGAGAAGACAAACAAAGAATGAAAAAGGGGAAGTAAGGGAAAGTACGGAGTGTGGAACGGAGATGAAGGCAAAGGAGAGGATAAGAAAAGGCTCAAGAATGAGTCTGTCCTTGATGACAGCCCTTCATCACAGAGGTTTAAACAAACAGAATCATGGTGAAGGTTTACTGGCTGCACATCATGTTGACAAGCTCGTAAATGGAGAGACGTTTAATTTCAGTTTCGGACCAATTGCACCGGAGCCGAAAGTGGGGTCCCTGTTAACCAATTGTGCATAAAAGCTGAGAGATATGGCCACATAGGTCTTGGAGGAGGAGAAGGTGTGATAACAAAGGCTCCCACACGGGTTCCCTCAGGGCTCAACACTGGTGTAGGGGGCATGCAATGTGAGTTCAAGGGTTTTCTAATATTTTTTGGGTACCACTGATTTTTTTTCCTCAGTTCTTTTGTTGTTGTTCTCAGTCCGTTTGCCTGTTCCGGGTTTGTCCAGTCCGGACGTGCCGTTTCAGCAGTTTTTTCCAGACAGGTAGTCCTCTGGACCAGAAGGGCCATTTTCAGGGCTCACGGATTCTCTGGTCTGACACACTTCGTTTAGGGCTGAACAACGTTTTAATCCAGCCCCTATTTCGTCCTCTTGTGAGGACACCTCTGCTGGTTCAGCAGAGGGCCCTGGATGTCCGGTTGGGACCCCGTCAGGCTGTGTTTTAGACCAGGAATCAGGACTGGGATTTTGGCTTGCATTCTGGACCGTCAATCAGCGTTACGACCGGACGACCCAGGATAAAGGCTGTAGCAGCATCCACTAGGCCCAGCACTATCTATAGCTGGGCTTGCCCTCATTCTGGACAGGCAGCATTCGGGAGCTGAGAAATTGCGCTGCTGGGCTAGCACTGGGTTTTAGAGTAGAAGGCTAGGCGTAGTGGAGATAGGAGATCAGCACGGAGGCCACGAGAGTGGGCGCTTACCTGCCGACTTACCTCGGCGCCCTCGCTGGAGTTCATGCGCCAGGGCGCTCCCATCTACATCACAGCTCCAAGATGACGACTTTTCGCTGGTCAGTATCTGGGTTTGAGATAGGCAGAAATGATTCTTCTTCTTCTTCTTCTTCTTCTTCTTCTTCTTCTTCTTCTTCTTCTTCTTCTTCTTCTTCCTCATCTTCTCCTCCCCTGGTTACCTCCTCCATATCCATTCCTTCTGTTTCTTCTTCTTCTCCCTCTGCTGTTTTCTTCTCTGTGTGTGTGTGTGTGTGTGTGTGTGTGTGTGTGAGAGAGAGAGAGAGAGAGAGAGAGAGAGAGAGAGAGAGCTGAGACTTGCCTTTTTGATCTCTCAGGCATTCGAGAAAGGGGAGAGAAAAAGGGGAGAGGCACAGTAAATGGACATGCATGAGAATCGCAACATCTGATACTTGGTAAGTGGACATGCATGAGAATCACAAACATCTGATACCTGGATAGTGAGCAATGACATGCCATCTTGTAGTTACAATTTTCAACTTACTGCCCATTGAAGGATGTATAACGTCTGTTACCTGAAAACACAGGCTGAGTCTCCAACATTTGCACACTGGGCACAAAGCCCTCCCCTTGAGCCATCACGCCAAATCAGCAATGCCGTTGCAGTGCAGCCCTGCAAAGAAATAGACTAGTAAATGAAAGTGTGCACATCCATTTGGACTGGGGTTTGAACAACCAAACACCATCTGTGTATTTCAGTTTGATCTCTCAGACTGAAATACACAGATCTGAATCATCCTGACTCAGGACTGACTGCATACATCCGTCATCACTCACACATGAGACAACCAAAACCGTCTAGCTAATCAGGCGAGCAAATTTCCAACGACTTAGACCATACTCACACTTGGACTACTTGGCCCCAATCTGACCATAAGTGAAGGGAGAATCCCTTTCAGATACATCGCAGAAAGTACTATCGTCTATGCACCTAATCTCCTCAAGGGGACAAATCACCATCACTCTTCACCATGACCATCGTCGTCACGGTCATACTGTGCCATCACCCACTTCTTTTTATAGTACCACCCAGTGTTGCATACCCCGATGGTTGGTGCCCCTTGACTGGTCGGCTGCCGACCAGCCGACTGGTTCGCTGGTCGGCACCTAACGGTCGGGGGTCCAACCCCACTTAAAAAAAATAGTCTTTTTTTTTCTTTTT